ATTAATAAAAAGGATAATTCATCAAGAGAATATAACATTTGTAACTTTGATGCACCAAATATTGGAGCCTTGAATTTCATAGATAGCCCTGGGAAGGGGAAATAGATCAGATCTCCTAGGTAAAGGGGTGTGAGGGGGTGGGGGATGAGAACATGAAGGAACTGGGATGGTCGAGTTGGGAGAGGGATGAGGAGGGACAGCAAGGAAAGAGATGTCTTTATAGAGGGAGCCATTATGGGGGTGGGGAGAAACCTGATGCTAGGGAAACTCCCAGGGATCCACAAGGATGACCCCAGCTAAGATCCCTAGCAATAGGGAGAGGGTGCCTAAACTGGTCTTCCCCTGTAATCAGATTGGTGAGTACCCTGTCATCATAGAATCATCATCCAGTAGCTGATGGAAGCAGATGCAGAGATCTATATCCAAGCACTAGGCTGAGCTATTGGAGTCCAGTCTAAGAGAGAGAAGGAATCCTATGAGCAAGGGGCATCAAGATCATGATGGGGAAACCACAGAAACAGTAGACCTGAACATGTAGGAGCTCACAGACTCTAGAATGACAGCTAGCAAACCTGCAAGGAACTGAACCAGGCCCTCTGCATGTGGGTGATAGTTTTGTAGCCTGGTCTGTTTGTGGGATTCCTGGCAGTGGGACCAAGATCTATCCCTGGTGCATGAGCTGGTTTTTTGAAACCATTCCATATGGTGGGATGCCTTGCTCGACCTTGATGTTGGAGGAGGAGGAGGGGGCTTGGTCCTGCTTCAACTGAACATGCCAGGCTTTGTTGACTCCCCATGAGAGGCCTCACCCTTTCTGAGGACTGGATGGGGGTAGATTGGGGGAGGAGGGGAGAGAGAAGGAACTGTAGTTAGTATGTAAAATTAATTTTTAAAAAAGGCACAAAGAAAAAAATTTAAAAAGGAGGGGGGGAACGGGCACAAAGAGGCACATAAGCCCCAACAAAGTAACAGTGGGAACTTCAGTATTCCAGTGTTATATTTGGGTAGGTATTCTAAATTAAAAACAAAGAAACTAAAATATACTATGAGTGAACTGGACTTAACATCTACTTGATATATATTTGCACCCAATAGAGAAGGAAAAGAAGTTTTCTTACCAGTGCATGCAACCTTTTCTAACATTGACATCACAAGACAGAAATTAAGCCTCAACAAATACAAAAAGTTGGGATAAATCTTTGCTTCTGATCAGAGCATAATGCAATAAAGCTAGAAATCAACAATAAGAGAAGCTACCGATACCAGAAAATATTTGGAGACTAAACAATGCATTTTTGAACAAACAGTGGGTTATCCAAGACATAGAGAAGAAATTTTAAAAATTCCTAAAGACAAATGGAGATGAAAACATATTTGATTAGAACCTCTGGGATGCAGCCAACATAGTACTAAGAGGAAAGGTTATAATAGGAAGTGCATGTGTTTAAAAATCTAAGAGATATAAAATAAATAACCTAATGATACATCCCAAGACTCCTGAAAACAATGGTCAGTCCCAACCATATCAGACAGCAATAATAAATATTAATGGAAAAATCAATGAAAGAGAGATCAAAAGAACAATACACAATGCACAGCACCAATTAAACAAAGAGTTGGTTCTTTGAAAAGATTAATAAGATTGATAAGCCCTTAGCTAATCTGACAAGAAAGAAAAAGGCAGAAGATACAAATTAGTAAAAGTAGAGATCAAAGGGGTGCCATTGCAACTGACTCCAATGAATTTCTTTCTTTTTTTTCATCCCACAAATGAAACTAGTTCATTTTTATAGGTATACTTCTATTTAGTGAACATATGGCACATCTCTAGAGGAAATCCTTACAAAACCTTTTTACACAAAATTCTAGGGAAGGCTCTTCAATAGACATACATAAAAAGTAATGATTCCATAGTATAATGTGATACACTTTCACATCACAATGTCCACATAGTGATGCCTATCTGCCTGGTGCCACAAGGCTCTAAGCAGAGGTGTGGTTTCTAGTACCTGCCCAGGGAAAGCTGCCCCAGACAAGCACGTGGGTCTCCTTCACCTGTCCAGTCCTAATGACAGAAGTAGAAAAATTTCTCAATACATATTGTATACCAAAATTAAGCCCTGAAGATATAGCAACTCAAACAGACCCATTATTAGATTGAATCTGTTATTAAAAGTCTCCATTAAAAGAAAGGCCGTAGGGTCAGACATTCATGGCTGAATTCTAGCCAACTTTCACAGAAGGTCTCATACAAATTCTTCTTAATTTTACATATATATATATATATATATATATATATATATATATATATGAAGGAACACCACCAAATTTATTCTACAAAGCCAGTATTATCCTGATACCCAAATCAGATAAAAATAATACTAAAAAAAGTACAAACCAATTTCTCTCATGAACATAGTAAAGTACATAATTATTTCACCTGATCTGAAAAGGCATTTGGCAAAGTTCACCACGCCTTTATGAAAAAGTTCCAGGGACTTTAGGAATAGATTGAACACACGTCAGAAGAATAAGGCTATGCATAACAAACCTCTAGCCAACATTATATGAAGGGGTGACAAATTGAGAGCATTTCCTCATTTCTCTTATTCAATATATATCTTAAGTCTTAGCTATAGCAATTAGAAAAATAAAGAGACAATAGGAAGAGAAGTCAAAATGTCTCTATTTGCAGATGCACTGAGTCTAGAAAACTGAATCTAAAAACACAAAGTTGCAGAATATATACATGTGTGTGTGTGTACACCCCCACATGAGAGAATGTGGAGAGAAAGGAACCCTTATTCATTGTTGGTGGGGTTTTCAATTAATACAGGGGGTATTGTAGAAATCGGTTTGAGATCTAAAAAAAAAAAAAAAAAAAAAAAAAAAAGAGCTACTACGTGACCAAGTATTTTCAAGCTGGGCATATACCCATATCCAGAGAATCCCATATCATATCACAAGAACACCTGGAAAGAGGATGTGTGAGGAAGACCCTGAAGGGAAAGGAACAGCACAGGCTAGCACATAGACATTGCTCTAGAAGCCCCAGGTCCCGTCTCTTGGTCTGCCTCCTCTCTTTGGGCTCTTCTACACACCCAGAAACCTGGAGAAAGTCCATATGAAAAGCCAAGCAAGCAGACAAAATATCTCACAGTAGACTAAAGAGGAGGCCACATGCTAAGAGGAGAAGGGAGAGACTTAAGTTTTACAAGATCCAACAGGTAGAGCCCCGCATCGCCCCACAGGCTGTCCTTTGTTGTTCCGGATGAAGCCTTTCTTCACAGAACTGTCCCAGATTTTTTGCCACCCCACCTTGGTGGAACTGAACTCCTCCCTCTCAGTTTGCCCAGGGTAGGGCCATATGTCGACAAGAACTAATTATGAAGGAGGAGATCCTGATTCTGGTCCCAACCCTGCTCTCTCAGCAATATTGCAAACACAAATAGGCCATGCCTCTACTCTAGGCCTCAGCTGGCAAATGAGAAAGTGGATTCTTTTGTAGATTAAGAATTCAAGATTCCCAGCATGCCACAGGAATCTTAAGAGATGTTCTTGTTGAGGGCCAGGTACCTTTGGGGAAGACTCAACCCTTATCTTCAACTGTTGAAACAGACAGAGCCTGTAGTCCACCTCTTTGGAGTATGTCTGCCTCACATTACCCTTCAGGGATGTTTGGCTTACTTTCTAGAATGTTCCATTCTCTTCTTCACCTGTAGGGGTCATCACTGTCAGTGAGTGAATCTTCAGGTGTCAGTCACACCAGTTTCCTATTACTGCTAATAACAAATCATGGTGATCTTGGTGTCTTAAAATAAAACACATTTAATTCCTTAAACTTCGGGGGCAGGGGCCAGAAGTCCAAAATTAGTTTCATCAGCCTGGGGGGAGAAACCATTTCCTTACCCTTTTCAGCTTCTAGATCTATATTATTTTTTCAAGATTAAAAATAAACGTTCTGTGTTTGCTTGCATGTATGTATATGCACCATATACGGTACCTACTACTTGTGGAGACCTGAAGAGAAGAAGGCATTGGATTCCCCGAAAACAGATGATCCTGAGCTGTCTCACCTGTGCTGGGAATAAAATCCAGGCCCCCTGCAAGAGCAGCAAATCCTCTTCACCTCAGAGCCATCACTCCAATTGTTGGCCCATGGCCTCTATTGCCCTTCAGAAGCAGCAGCGAGGTATTTTCTTCATTTGTCACATTCCTCGCTAGCTTCTTCCCTGTCTTCCAATTTCCTTCTGCCTCTCCTGTGGCTACACTGGGGGCATGTCTAGGTCTTCACCCTAGAATCCTTAACTTAATCCTATCTGCAGAATCCCATTTTCCCTATGTGATAACAATGACAGATTCTAGGGCTTAGGGTGTGGTCATATTGGGAAGCCATTGTTCAGTCTTCTACAGTAACCTGTACCTTTTCTGAGTGTTGAGGACCATCTGATCTTTCTCTTGTCCCATCCACTCAGAATCCACTCAGAGCTGTGTGTCTCTGAATCTACACTGAAACCTTCTAGTTACCCGGGCTTCCCTGACTATCACTTTTCTAAGGTCAGGATTGCTCCACGTCCCCTCCCCTCTGTTCTGTGTTGTGGTTCCATTCACAGTTTCCACCTGGAATTACAATCTAATACCCCTTACCCTTAGGATCAACATTGTCCTTCTGGACCATCCTTTCATGATGCTTCCTAAGCAAATCTACAAGCCTCAGAAAACCCCATCTCTCTGTGTCTCTGTTTCTTAATTTGTAAAACTGTAGGCACCAGTCCCCACCCTCATACAGGTATTAACATTCTCATTAGAAGCATTGAGAGAATGAATTGAGTTCATGTAGCCAAATGGATATGTTAAGGACTCAGTGTTTACTCATTCCCACTGCTTTTTGCAAACTGTAGTTTAATCCCAATAGCACCAGGCAGTTTCAACCCAAATGAAAATCAACTTAAAAATCACAAACTATATTTTAAAGAAAGTTTATTATGAAAATGCATGAAATCAATTACAAGATCATATCCACAATAGCAGAGAAACAGTAATGGTGGACCATCCCCATAGGAGACAAATGTCTTTTAACTAAATATAAATAATAGAAATAACACCTAAAAAAATAACAGAGTCTATGTAAAGGTTTAAATTAATAAGTGGGACAGATTGAGAAGGGTCAGGGCTCAGGCGACACTCCCTGAAGGCTCCTCCTACAGCTCAGTTCAACTCCAAGTCATCCACATACTCATTGACCCAGGGCTCGCTGGGGTCAGCACAGATCTGCTTGCCTTTTCTGGTTAGGAATCTGTAGAAGGAGAGGGATGATGAGAATCCCACAGGACCTTAGAGGACATCTACCACTGTCTTTTGCCTGTGGTAGGTATCTCACTCTGCTTGAGCATTGTTTCCATGGGCAACCATGGTAGATGGGATCCTCATGGAAAACCCTGACACTAGACTTCCTGTAAACTGACCCCTGGGTGTGTAGCTGTGACCCCAGGGGTTCCCTATATTAGAAAATGATAAGTTTATGATCAATATGACTTATGTCTTCCAATTTTTCATTGCTCCTTGAAATAGCCTTTCTATATATAGTATGCATCATTTTGACTGTTTCTGTTTTATAGCCTCTGGATATCTTCCTCCCCTACAGCCCCCCCCCCCCATTTTAATGATCATCCAGACACTATCAGAATGTAAAAAGTAACCTCATGACCTCACTGTTCTTTGTCCCAGCCCGGACCTAGAACTGGACCCTTTCTGTTAGATGCACCTGGCCCCTTTTGAGTCCTGCCCTCACCCCGGCCAGTGTATACTTACACCACAGCTGGCTTGGAGCAAAGGCTGCTGGTCTCATAGTAATCTGTCACAAACTTTCGAGGAAGCTTCCAAGAGGTGTAAGAAAAGCAGCAAGAAGTGGGAGGGTCAGAGCCCACTGGAAGAAAAAGCAAGGATAAGGTCAACCCTGCGACTGGCGCTATTCGTTCTAGATCTTCACTGAGCATCCCTATGGACTACTAGAACCCAAAACATGGTCCCTTGAAGGCATAGTCATCCACCCAGAGTAAGACTTTTACTCTAAAAAGATAGTCCTTGAAGAAGGGGAAAAAATTCTAGAAGATTGTAACGGATTGAGTCTCAGAACACCTCTCAATTCCTTCATGTTACAGGTAGGGAAATCAAGGCATGGAGACAGACAAGCTTAAACCAGAGAGAAAGCTTCCAGCCCACCATTTCCCCTATGGGCTGTCAACCCTTAAGGAAACTGGAGCTTACATATGAGTGGATGTCTGGTAGTCCCGATGTTTAACAGCAGACTCGGGAATTTTCCCAGCTCCCTCTTGTCCTCCTGACTAACCCCCACTGTTAGGCTGGCCCCAGCTGGGAAACTGAGCCCACTGGGTCTCAAAGCAGAAAAGAGGAGTGGACTTACTTGGTGCTGAGAGCGCTGGGTCACAGAAGGCAGCCACGAACAGGAGGAGAGAGAGGACAGACACGCAGAGCTTCATGGTGCTGCTGGGTCGGGGAAGTTTATACAGAGCTGAGAGTGCAGAGCCCAGAAGCTTCAGAAGCTGGCTGAGTGTTGTGCTGATCTGAGCTGGGAACCCCTCTTTATAGGGACCCTGGGGCCTGGGACAGAGGTGAGGGTGCAGGGAGGAAAACGGAATTTCCTGAGTAAGGCTGATGTCATGGCATCAAGAAGGAAATTGAAGTTGACCGAAAGTGAGGAGTTCCTCACAATTTGTCTTCCCCCAGCAGTGACATCACGGGAGAGAGAGGAGGGAGTTGGAGCAGAGAAGTGGGGTGCATGCTGGAGGGGAAGTGGTACACCAGAGATGGGGACCAAGGTGTGTGTGTGAGAGACAGAGAACCTGAGAAGGAGGATGCGACGTTCACACCTGCTAGCAAGAGCTGTGGATAGGTGCTCACTGCACTTGGTGGTGGGTACCTCCAGGCAGTGGGGCAGTAGAGCCTTCACATCAGTCTTTCCAGGTTGTCTGGGATCTCTAGAATAAACATGGGGTGTGACCGCAGACAGAAGACACTGACCACACCAGACTCTTCTACACACAAAAATACTGTCTGATCAGCAGCATGCAGATGGGTTGGTTTAGCCTATCTAGAACAAAGAAAGGACAGGAAGAAAGACAGAGAGATTTCAAGCTATTTGTTTGGAGTGGTAAGAGAGGTAGAGAAAAAAAGACAGAGGATGTTTTAGTAACACAGATAAGGATTGATATCTAATGAGGAGAAAAGAATATCCTGCAGACAGAATGTGTAGCTAACCTAAGCATATGGGTGTTTTCTGGTCAGTCCCTAAGAAATGCCTCATGTTCCTATCCCCCAAGGACCTATGTAGGAGATCCAAAGCTGGGGGCACAGTCAAACTCAAAGTAGGGCAAATGAGGGAAACTGGATGATGGACCCCATATTACTCACCTTTAGCTCAATTACCCCACCTCACCTGCTTGCCCCAGACCTCACACTGTGGCATGATCTTCTTGGAGACAGAAAATAAAGGAGGGAAGATGGAGCCAGACCTCTTCAGTGCTTCTGAGGGGCCGGGGGGGGGGGCAGAGCGGCATCCCAGAGTGCTTTATGATCATTTCACAAAGTACAAGTTTGTCCCACCCCGTTCTTCTCCCAAAGCCCAGACCACATCTGTCCATCTCTGCTGCTCTTTCTGCCCTCAGCCTAGTCACCCAGCTTGTGTCTTGAGCTCTTGGTCCCCACATACTTTATTTTCCATAACATTTCAAATCAGTACACTTCCTATTCATCTGCTGTTTGTCAGGACAGAGATGGTGCAATAAAGCCTCATCATTCCCTCAAGGAGATCTTAGCCTATTGATGCTTGGACAATGACAGAAACAACTGTCCCATGAGATGGAATAAGAGTTAGTAACGGGGCATCAAGGAGTCCAAGGATGAAGGCTGTCCCTCATGTGAGGGTAGAGAGTTCCGAGCAAGGTTGAAGCTCGCTGGATTAAGGAGGAGCCTCTCTCTGCCTACATCAGTCAGTGTGTTCATCTCCGTTTGACTGGGGGACTTGGAGCCACCTGCTCTGGGACACAGGAGGATGGCAGATATGAATAGATGATTGATCTGTGAAGTGGAACCTTATTGTAAGCAGAGCATCCCCAGAGAAGGGGAAGACTGTTCTAGAAGGTTAGAATTGGAGTGGGTCTCAGACTATATCACATTGCCTTCGTATTACAGACAGAAAACTCAGGGCATGCAGAGGACTCTCTTAAACCAGTAGTGTAGGCACAGCCCATCATAGTCGGACTCCAAACTGGTCCTTTCTTCCAGCAGTTGTTAACTCTTGGGAAGTTGGAACTTGAGTACTATGACTGTCTATAGGGTACCAGAAGACAGTAGACTCTTGGGAGAGATTAAAGATTCATGGAGAAAACAGAGGATGTGTCCATGTGGGTAGCCTGGCCTCTCCTCCAGACAGTGTGAGGGTTAGGACTGTTAGGGAGACACTGATCAGTGGGGCCAAGAGTGGGAACATGCTTGGAACTAAGGTGTTCCTAGAGGACAAATGCTGAGTTGAGAGAGCCAAGGTGAGCTGGGACACAGAACCATTTTGCAAAGACAATAAACCAAGAAGGAATATTGCCAGTGTGGTATCTAAGTCACTCTGGGCAAACAGGAGCGGACATTGAATTGTGAATGGAAGAGACAAGGAGATGGTCATGCAAAGTGCAGGTTCAGAATGGCATCTGTAGCAGAGGGCATCAGCTGAAGCAGCTCACCAGTGACAGCCTGACCCTGGCCACCAGGCCTTAGTCACCAGCCACAGCCTGCTCCTCAGATGTCCAGGGTAGAGAGCAGTGACTTCAGAGGGTGTTAAATTCCTGAGAGAAGCAGCCAGTCTCACCAGTATCTGGTGGATTCAGGAAACTTTCAGCATTTCTTAGGAAGCCTCTCCCTTTGATGCTTAGATGTGTGTTTCTGTCCTCTTCCCGTTTACCAGAGATAAGACTACAATCTGATAAAGCTTCACTGAGCACCTACTATGTGACAGGCGCTGTGTCAGTGTTGGAGGCTCCTATTTTAAATGGTGGTTGCAAAGTGTTGAGAGAGGCTTCCAAAAATGTGAGGCCTCAGAAAAGGGATAGCAAGAGTATAAGAGCCAGAGTGTATATGTGGAGGCGGAGGGGGAGCGGAGAAGCAGCAGAATGCTGTCTTGGCTGTTGTACTCATGAGCTCAATTATGCCTACTCCCACAAGATCTAGTTAAGGTCAAGCCAACAGAGCTGCCAAAATGTCAGCAGGTAGACACACTAGTTGGGCTTAGTGAGTTACCAGAGAGAGGGAGAGGAGGTGGGGGAAGAGAGGAAAGACAATTGGGGAGGGGATGAGGAGGGAAAGGGAAGGACAGAGACATGACAAGGTTGGGGAGGAGCCATATTGAAGGATCACAGGGGTAGGGGAGATTGGGGTGGATAGGATCCATGTATATATGTGTCAGATTGTCAAAGAGGAAATAAAAGATAAAAATGCAAAGTGTGAAGTTTTAAAAAAAATTACAGTAGGCTGTCTTTCTTTTACCAAAAGTATGTGTGGTTCCTATAAACATTTTTTTTAGAAATTGTAAGAAGACATGAATCTTAAAATTTTTAAGATTTAAGACTTAAGACTTAAAATTATCTTTACGTAGCTTGCTGTTAGTACTTAATATTCTTTCTCACATAGGCATGTCTTCACATTGCTAGTTAATATTCACCAGAGTTATTAAAGACTTAGTCATTACTGAAATACGGTATTGATGAGTTTATGGCTTTCCATCGCCCGGAAGTACTAACATTTGTATTTAACGAGTCTATTATTTGGTAGTTCCATCCACCCAATTGTTTTGAACTTTTCTCTAAATAGAGCTGAGAACTGAAGGGTGATTAGCTAGCCAGAGAGCGGGTGTTGGTTATTTGGGGAAAAGTGTGCTCTTATAAGTGAGATGTATTTATTATATCCAGTTTCACAGTAGGGCAGGTAAAGACTATGGTAATGTACTGTATATTTCAACAGAGTAAGAAGAACATGAATGTTCTCACCACAAAGAATTACCTGATGGATATGCAGACCTTGATTTGGACATCATACAGTTATACATATTAAAATATTACATGGTGCCTGTAAACATGTCTGTGTTTTAATTTAAAATTACTTTTAATTGAAACCTGGGGATTTACAAAAAAAAAATGTAAATGATAGTAATTGTGGTTAGCACTTAACACAGCACTCACCATGAGCCAGTACTAGCCTAAGTACTAACCTGTTTAATTCTCCCTCCCGTGCTCCTTGGAAGTAGGCGTTGTTCTTTGTTCCTGTTAATACATCAAAGCACTGAGCACAGAAAGGTAAGGAACCCACAGGAAAAACACACAGCTAACACACCACACCACAGATTGGGAAATGAAACCAAGGAAGTCTGGCTCTAAGATAAGCAAGTCTGACAAGGGAAACTCACTTCATTATAAATTTCTGTTAAAAACTTATCGGCCACGTCCGGGCAGCGTGCCTCATTCTCTTAGTTCACATGACTTTGAGCAATAGAATCTATGAACTTCTCTCTCTCTTTTTTTTAATCTTAGAGTGTTTGGTAGTTTTAATAGTAGTTTTCAAAGATATGGGGGGGTGAGCAAATGGACACGTGTGATGTGAAAGCAGAAGGGGGGCACCAGGGAAAGGATGGAAGGGGGGGGGAATGGGAGTGGCAAAAGATTTACACCAAAGAAAGAAGATACTGGGGGCTGGGGAGATGGCTCTGGTTAGAGCACTGACTGCTTTCCCAGAGGACCCAAGTGGTTCACAACTGTCTGTAATTCCTGTTCCAGGGGACCTGACACCCGCGGCAAAACACCAATGCACTTAAAAAAGACAAACAAAACAAAACAAACAAACAAACAAAAACCGAAGATACTGTATGATCTCTGATAACAAATATTTAGCCAAAGTTTAATCTTTATATTAAAATGACAAAATTATACATTTTTTCTTCTTTAATAAGTAGTAAAATTATGTTGCTGGAAAGATAGCTCAGTGGAAGAGATGCTCTTCCAGAGGCCCAGGGTTCAATTCCCAGCACCCACATGGCAGCTCACAACAGGAATGTACAAGGGTGATGGTGACTCTAGCTAAGATTGCTAGCAATGGAGGATACGGAGCCTGAATCGCCCATCTCCTGTAACCAGGCAAGGCTTCCAATGGAGAGACTGGGACACCAACCCAGCCACAAACCCTTCAACCTACAATTTGTCCTGCCTACAAGATGCGCTGGGTGGCTTTACAAGATGTAAAGGTGGCTCAAAAATTGAAGGAGTGGCCAACTAATGACTGGTCCATCTTGAGACCCACGTGACCAGAGGGAGCCCATTCCTAACACTGCCTGGAGCACCAGAACCTAGAGGCTGGGACAGAACCAAACATGACTGGGGAAGAAAGAGCCACCTAATTGATCTTGGTGTTTCCTCTAGAGATGAAGATCCTGCCCTTATGGTCTTTTTTATCCTTCTCTTCCCATTAGAATTTCAGCTACGATGAGGTTCAAAGCATAATACATTTCATTCAATCTGTGATGTGTTCATTTACCAAATATGTATTAACCCCCTCTATGTGTCAGGCTTTGTGGCTTTACTGCAGACTCAGTGGAAAATAACACCATTGATGAAGCACATTGCTGATCAGTTCTATGTGTGACCCCTAGCAAGCCATTTTTTTTTCTGGAAGCATCAGTCTGCCACCTAGAG